ATACTATGAGCCTTGTGAGCACTTGGCCCTGGGTGTTTCCAGTCTGGAAGTCAACTCTGTGGATTGGTATTACTCTTACCTTTTGGAAGCAACCAAACACCTCCAAACACCAAAATATCCCAGTGAAGAAAAATCCCAGTGAAGTCCCCAAAGGTCTAGTGCCCATGTTATCAGGAGACCCAAAGTTAAAGTGAAAGTCTGCATATTTTTTTTTCTGTTGCCCCAGCATAAATAGAAGCAAAAAAAGTGCTTTGAATCTGACCCTGAAAGTGCTGACTCATTAGAATTTGTGCTTTAATACCTTATATTTGCCTCCACACTGTTCACTGCTCCACTGCAGTAAACTCTGAATATGCATACGACACACCTGCTCACTCTTTCTAGTATCTCCTGCAAGGGTTTGTATTTTAAACTGAGAAGACAGACAATGCTCAAGGGAAGAAGTGTCCCATTTTACAGATGGGGAACTGTGATACAGGCTGATGCATTTCTAAGTAGCTTTCTGAACACTCGGGTATTTGCATACTCGTTCAGAACATCTGCGACTTTAGGTTTACAAGGCTTTTCAGGACTTTGTATATCGTACAACACCCTTTTCCCACAGTATCTCTCTTCTCTTTGATTCTTCACCTCCCTCAAGAAAATATTTCAAGACAGACCTTTGAACGTACAGGGGATGCTCTGTGATCATAGGCTGAAATGTATGGGCCCTGTCACAGACTGAGGCTGCCAAACGGGATGGATCATTTCAGGGCGTACTGAGAAGCCTTATTTTGAGGTTGCTCGTGTAGATGATATTCATGTGATGTTTTGTGAAATTCTTACTACGTAGCTTATCATCTCTCCTCAGCAGACTTTCCATGTGTCTGCAAGACTGGTTTTTGCTTCGTTATCTCTGAGCATTTCTTACAGGATGGAGTAAGAGAGTAAAACCCTAGAAGTTATCAGTGAACTGAATTACAGTGGTAAGACCTATGAGTTTAGAGTCCTACTCTTTCTTAGCAATAGCTCATGATGGCAGCAACTAGCATCTACTACCAGGATATTAGTATTAGTCTAATTCGGGATAACAGATTTTTCTTTTTATTGTTCACATTCCTTTCACTTGAAGATTGCACCATGAGGCCATGCTGCATCACTGGTGCAAATACAGTGTGAAAAGCGCCCTCTCCTGTGCAGAGGTTAATTGTGCAGGGAAAAGGGGGAGTGCAGTGGGATGCAAACCACCCCACGAGGCACTGGAAGAGATAGGGAGGACTGGTAGGTATCACATCCTCATCTCTAGACACTAGTTGCAGAAGACATGCTGGGAGATCCAGCTTTGGGGATGCTGCCACTTGTATGCTTCCCTGCACACCAAAGAGGTTAAAAAAATGATTGCATCTCTCTGATGCAATCCCCTCACCCTTATTTGCTACCTTTAGTTTGTGCTGTTTTGAAGATAAGACAGATATTCCAACCTGTGAGGCAACTTTGGCGTCATTTCATTATACAGAGGATGTTTCCTAAAAGACCTGTCCCACAGCGTGACCCATAGGATGACAATATGCTCATGAATAAAAGCTATTAGGTTGTGGACATTTTTGAAAGCCTGGTTCTGAGTTAGGTTTCATCACTCATTCCCCAACAGAAATTTGACATTGGATTGTACATGATAGCAGGGCATAAATCAGGCCAGGTACAGATGAAACTTTGTCACGCATAGAGTTCTGAGTTCATTCGTATCTGGTTTTGCCTGTTTTGTATAACTATCCTCTTGAAGCAAAATTTAATACTGAACATGAAAGCGTTTCTTAGACAGGAAGAGAGTTTTATAAGTGAGTTACCCTGAACAATTACTTAAAAAATGCAGTCTTTAGAAATTACTTAAAATTGATGAATAAACAAACAAATCAGATATATTGTCTGCAAAAACTAGTTTGGCCAGCTCTAGTTCATAGCCAGAAATTATTCACTTTGTGCTTCACAGTCATACTTAAAATAATCAGCAATCCACTTATCTCACAGGTACATTACGAATGTCTGAGACACATGTAAAAATAAAATCATGTTTTATTTATTCAGTAGCCCACTCTTCTTTAAATCAAATTATGGAAGTTATATCTGAGTAAATGCTGAATACAAAAGAGAGTGAAATTTTTGAATCTCGCCCCCGTTACACTGGTTAGCGCCTTACCCACTCTGAGCCATACATGTGAAGACCCGGCCGTCTAAAGATCAAACTGGGAAGCACAGCCCGGGTTTGATTCTGTACTCTCTCCACATCATCTTACAGCTTAAGCTGAGTTGAAGAAGTTGGGGGACAGATCCAAATAGCTGGGCTGAGAACTGCAGATCTGATGTAGTAGGTGGACCTTTCTTCACAGCACAAAACAGCGCCTGCAGGAGGAAAGGATGGAAAGGTCCACACAATCAATCCATCCTTCAGATCTGCTCTGACCTGAAGTAGTGTCCTTTGCCGTGTCTCTGGCAAGTGTTCCAGTGCTGAGACCCTTCCTTTGCCTGTATGGCACAGTCAGATACTGTGTGACAAAACAGTTTGCATGCTTCAATTTATCACATGAGAAACAGTCGGCTTATCATCTGATGGGATAGTTTAACCATGTGGAAATAGCATTTCTTGATCTCCTCACTCAGACGTAAAGCTGCTTTTCCATTTACCCAAAGAAGTCAGGATTTGCAGTTTTCCCATGTGGATACACTGCTTGGTACCTGACCCTTAACACTGTCATGGAATATTTTGGTTTGGAAAGCACCTCTGGAGATCATCTAGGTCATCTTCGAAGTTGGAACAGGACGTGCAGGGCCTTGTCACCCCTCAGGCTTTTATTTCAGAGTGCATCTGAACAAAGAAGCTCCAAGGATTTTCATTAAAAGAAGACGCATAACGATGTAGTAATTTAGAACAGCATGTAAATTAGGCAAGGCAAAAGAATTACAGATGTTGCATCAGACCCTGCTAATCCCTGTCCCACTGCACTGGGGGGGGACACGGGGCTCCAATATTGGTTGCTCTAAAGACAGTCATGTTTTATCACACGAAAAACATCAGAGAGATTTCAAAATTCATTGAGGTCAATATCTAATCTGCAGCCATTTCAATCAGTTCAGAAGTCTGTATCTTTGTTTTCTTCTAAATTCACTGGTGTTATTCATCGGAGTTTTACATTTAGACTATGCAAATCCTGAGGTTGGGGCAGTTTGCATACTTGTCTTCAGAGATTAATCACCAATGCCCTGGCTCACTGTTACGAGCTGTTACGAGCAACGCCTGTTGCTGATTTTTTTAGTAATGGAAAGTTTGATTTTCCGCAAAGTTACAGATATTCAGCACTTTGCAGATCTCTCCTTGATACCTTAGAGAGTTTGATCTCTGGGATGCGTATGAAAATACAAAACCCCAGTTTGTTAATTAACATCACAACAGAATTTCACATTTCTCCAAGAAACAATCTCCTATTCAGTTCAGTATTATGTGTACTATTTTTGAGGACACAAGCCTTTCACAGGTAGATGCCAAAGGAATCATTAAATAATACAAAAATTAAATATGTCATAAATACAATAACTTGAGGAAATGCTGTTTTGGCACAATGCTGCTTTGCAAAAGTGTATAAGAATAAAGCATAATATACATATACATAATATGACAATTTAAAAACATTAAAAAGTATTGTATTTACAGTAACATTGGCTAATGTTAGTTCAATTCAGAAATGTCAACATTAATGGCGATTTAAAATATTACAGAAATACAACATTACAGATGAAGCAGAATGACGCTGTGAAACACTTTACAAACAATTACTCAAAAAACCATCCAACTGATTCATGTTCTTTTTCTGTTTTACTTTGATCACGTCAAAATATGAAGAATTAGATAAATCTTGCCAGATTTGTATCATTCTTATCTTTTAATTTCTGGTTTGAAGGCACAGGAAACTACCATCAATAATTTATTCATACCGAAAGTGCAGCAGCAACAATGAAATCTGCTCCAGCATAGCCCCATGTATGCACCTCCAGCATGTCCGAGGGAGTTCCCATCTATGGGGAGAAGGAACTGTGTTCTCCATGCTGCCATCCCTTCCTTGTCAGTAAGGCACTTCACACTTGTGTAGACTCATCCACACTAAAAGTTGGATCAATACCAAAAGGGAAGTGTTAGCTTAGTCAGAAATGAAACACAAGTGCAACAAACTCCCGGAGATGGCATAAAAACAGTCCATGACACCACTCGGAAATGTGTAAGTTTTCTATATACCTCAGTGCATTCCAGATTTAACTGCAAAATAAGTAAAATCTACTAATTGTAAAATATCAAGCATTAGAATTGTACATTTTAAGTATTTCAGGACAGTGCAGGATCTTGACTAATACAGTAGAAGTACTGTTGGTCTGTGTTATCAGGCCACTGTTTTGCTCTTTAATTCCCCCCAGACTGTGCAAGGTAGATAAAGCTGCATACTGAAGTATTAGGAACATTTTCAAGGCTCTTGTTGAAAGACTTCCTCATTTTTAATATTTTCCACTGGTTAACCACAAACGTTAACAACAGAGTATGTGTATGAGAATCTGAACATGTACCTCCTCAAGAACTAAAAATTTCAACCATAAGAATAGGACCTACATTGTTCTTCTCAGCAGGGATTTTTTTTGCCTATCTGAGAAGATAAAACTGGTTCTGAATTCATGTGAGGAAAAGAGTCAGTCCAAAAAATACGCTTTTAGTATTTCAATTTGAGTCAAAGTAAATTACTTAGTTTATTCCACACGTCCTTAGCAAAGCAATATTTTCACCAATGATACTGGCGGGCAAACTTTATCGTAGGAGACAAACAGAAATAAGGAGTATCGCTTCTGTAGCATCCTCAAGGAGTTGCTGGCCCATGCACTGTGGCAAAGCTTCCTATGGACGTCAGCACGTAAATACTTGTGTGCTGCCGTCTGCAGCCCGCAGCTGGTGTTGGGAACTTCTTATTTGTGTCAGCAGCTAACTGCTAGCTGCCACCTTCTTGGTCTTTGCCACTATTACAGGTCTTCTGAATGTCAGATGAATCTGGTATTTCTTTGTTTTCTTCTCCTACCCCTCCTTCCTGTGATTCTTTTGACATTTTCAGTTTTATGCTGTCCGTCTTGTGATTAATGGATGAATTCAGCCTGAATGACTTCAATCTCCATCTTCTCAGGCTACTATAAAAATCTTTTCTGACATTTTCACTAACCAGCACGTAGATGATTGGATCGGCAACGCTGTTTGCAGTGGCCAAACACAGAAACACTGTAAAAATTGAATATATATCTTTTTCAAATGGACATGAGCAATTCTGATGAAACATAAAGTATATGGATCTTATTACGAGTACCACATGGTAGGGAGCAAAGCAGATCAGGAAAATGACAATAATGGCGATAGCCAGATACTTCACTTTGGCTTTTTGGCGACAAGTCAAGCTGCTGCTTGTTTTTATACTTTGGAAAATTTTGTAGTTTGTGAAAATGAGGATTGTGAAAGGTATGGCAAATCCAAATAAGAATCTGGCAAAGCTGAAAGAAGCCAATTTTATGTTAAGGGGCAAAGTCTCAAAGCAGGTCTTCTTATGTTCTGAATCATTTTCCATGAAAAATACGGGACTGTGGGTTATTGCAACCATAGCAAAGAGAAAACACACTATTATGATGGCCTTTTTCTGTCTTCTTCTGCCCCTTGATTCCAGAGCATACACCAGTGCCACATAACGATCCACGGAAATGCAGCACAAAAGCAGAATGCTGATGTATATGTTGCAGAAAAAGATGAATCCTGTTATTCTGCAAGCCTTTGCACCCATTTTCCAGTGGTGCTCATCTTGCACGTAGATAATCCAGAGAGGCAAGGTACTTAAATACATCAGCTCACACAATGACAAACTGAAAATGTAGATGGCAATTACTTTATTCCTTTGGATTTGTACAAACGTAAGCAGGGAAGTTACGCAATTTGCTGGAAGGCCTATGGCAAAAACGATGCTGTAAACAGCAACCAGAAGTGTCTTGCTGTCTTTATAGGGGATTTCTGCGCAAGCAGAGCTATTATTTGTGTCTCTACAGTTTTCCATTATTCTTTTTCCAGCTGATGTTTCCTGAGAATCAGAAGACAAGGTGGAAAGTTAGCATTTGCATCACTTAAAAATGTGTCAGTAAAGGTTATGGTCCCATAGGTGCCAACAGGACATGTCAGGGGAACAAGTGGGATGCTTGTCTTGGGGAAACATCTAAGACAGGCAAGTTTTCCAAGACCTGCTGGTCTCCTGTAGTGCCTCCTGGGAGTCAGGTCTGATTTACTTCCAGCAAAAAGTGCCTTTCTTCAAAAGGAATTTCTTGACTACAGCATGCCTATTCACTAAAACAGGGTATTGCTGACTGTCCCTAAACCAGGCTGCCTCATAAATAAGACAGAGCTGCTGACCAATTACTAAAGTAAATTCCTAGAGGAAATTAAGCGCATTAGTCTTCAATTCATTTTTTTCAAACTGAGTAACTGAGTAAAAAATGCAAACTGTAGAGATTTCAGAGGCAGACTTCCAAAAGAAGCTATCATTTATGGTCAATCGGATGGGGGAACTGTCTGAAGTGGGTGGTGGTAGTTGTGTCAGAGACTACCCAGCGTACAGGAACCAGAACACTGGTGTGTACCTCCACAATGCATTACAACATAGTGGTTCAGATCTAGCTAATTCATACTTGTCTCCTCCCTCCTCTTAATGAATAACTGCAGCTGAAGAACATAAACTCGTAGTGCTATATAACACACACCATAGTAAGCCAGTGAAACTGTCTACCACATCTCTTTGATGCCTCTGGGAAACAACAGGAAACAAGGGCAGTTAAAGGAAGTAAACACCAAAGAGAAGAATATACACATGTTTAAGAAATGGAGGTGAAGAAAATTAATGCTCTTTGAACAGGTGTGGTTACAAAAAACCTCCACCTTTCCAAGATAACCATACACAAGAGCAGACCTAGCATTTGGTTAGTGTTAAGTAGTGCTAGGAGAAACATTTCTTGCAAAGCCACGTGATGATTTCCATGCCGAAGTCTTCTCCAGGTGGAGGGAGGAATATGGAGGTGGGTGTGCTGTAATGGTGTTGTGTACTTTGCTGTATTTATGAGTTGAAGTTGTCCACTGCATAACATCCTTGATAAAAAAAGGTCTTGTCCAGTCTAATCTTTTGGGCATTCTCTTACGGGGTGGACACCTGCTCCAGGGAACAGTCAGCTAACTCCAGAAGGAGTAGATGTGTTGACAGAGATTGAGTCCCTTCAGACAGAGGAAAGACATGAGCTTTCTTGGTCCGCACTGTGTATGAGCAACTTCTTTAACCCTGAGTTCATGCAGGGGAGAAGTGAGCTTTTAGCAGCCTCGGAACATTTATTTGTTGCTTGTTTGGGCCCATGTCAAGAAGACCAAGGGGAAGCATTCTGCTCCCAGCGCAGTGGGATTGTCTCCTGCGTCTCTGGAAGGGTGGACAAGCTGGTGGAGACCTTCCTTCCCCTCCATGTGGGCAAGAGCAGTCCCTGGCGTGGCGTAAGCAGCTCCCCCTGAATGCCTAACAGAGCACCTGCCAATGCAAGATCCCTAAAGCTTGAAGGGCTGTCAGGTCTTAGTTAATTACCAGATGAAGAGAATGGTATGAGAAAATGGACATGAGTTGCCTTAGCCTGCGAGACCCTCACAGCAGTGCGGTGCTAGCCACAGCCATAAACACCAAGAGAGGTTTTCCCGGCCCATGCCAAGAGGTGTTCTTTTCCAGCAAGTACCCCAACGCAGTCCGAGCCGGCTCAATGACAGCAGCTTCTGAGTGCAGATGTCCTGGCAAGCGAGCAGACGGGGCAGAGGCAGCAGGACCTGCCATCCCCATCCCCAGCGGCAGTGTAGGCTGTTCCCCGGGGCGAGGATGTTTGGAAGGGGCCTCCGCAGACAGAGGAACTGAGAAAGTGCTGTGTGCGTGTAAGAAGTACGCCGGAGGGTGCGACCGCGCTCTGCGACTACCTTCCACTTCCCCCTGCAGCAAACTGTGCTCTGCTCGCCTGCTGACACGTTGACGAGGGTCAGCATCCCTTGCCAGAGGGCCGCATCCCTCCATGTCTGAGAATCGGACCGTCTGGAGTCCGGTGGGTATGTTCAGGCCCTCTCAAGGGGGATCTGAAGTTTCCTTTAGTTTCAGATGTCAAATCTTAAGAACAACTGGAGAAGAGGATCCTCACTGCTGTGGGGGGGGAAGACGGCGAGGTACTCAGCAGGGCTGCCACAAGGTTTCTGTGTGAGAGGGTGTAAAATTACTTCCCTTCTTTCCTAATACCTGATAGCTGGTATTAACTTAGAAAAATGATGGTTGCGATAAGGGCTGGTGGTGACTTGAGTTTTTTGCTGCCTCTGGGCATCTGCCACCCTTGGTGAACGAGGCGAGGCCTTCTTTGGGCCACCTGTGAACCGCTGCGTGGAGGGGATAAAAACGGTGCTTGGTATCCGGGTCAGCAGCGGTTCTCTGCCCAGACCTCACCTGGGACGGGGCATACGAGAGCTTGTCCTCGACTCAGACACCTCTGACCGATGCGAGAGCCGCTGTACAGCTGCACACCACAGAGCGGTCTTGGAGACCTCCCCTTCTACGGTGAAGCACAGCAGGTGAACACAACTCCTATGCGAGGGAGATGGCAGCAGCCGAGGCGGGGACGCGGCACAGCCGCACGCCATCTCAGTTACTCAGCGGCTGTCTGCGCCTCGCGCCTTAGCAAAAATACCTTCAAGAGTGGTTGAGGGTATTTGTCTGAATATTCTCCTTTCTGCACGGCCTACACCTGCTGTTGGCTGCTCGTTGTGCGCAGGCATGCTTCCCCCGGAGGTACCTGTCATGCCAGCAAGCAGCCGGCGATGGTGCAGGGCAGGAAGGAAGTGGTAAAAGAGTTATTCTGTAGACACGTGGTTCCCAATGTTTCTTTTTCTTGCCTCCTTCCTTTGCCTCCTCCCTTCCCGCTCTGCTCCAAGTCTCCTTCCCGTGCTTAGCACCCATGAGTGAGCCTCAGGAAGGAGATACCTGTGACTTTTTAAGCTGCCTGCATGGGGCGTGCTTTTTTTTCTTGGCTTCTGGCGTATGGCCTAAGCCACAGGGTTGAGACTGAGCTGAAGAGGCCTTCACCCTTAAATGACTGTCAGCTGCCAAGCGCAAAGCCTCAACTGGCAAAGTGCAGCCATAGACATGAATTTACACTTGTAGAGAAAAAGCATGTGCTGAATGCTTCTTCTGAAGGTCTGGCCTGTCAGCTCAGGAGCCTGGATCCTTCCCAGCAGTAATGCTCTATGTCTCAGCCCCTTATCAGGAAGGAGGAGAGGAGGACATCCATTTGCTCCCCTCCCTCACCTTCTCCTGTCTCTCTGCCCTGTCCAAGGGAGAGTCTCCTGGCCCTGGCCACTGCATCCAGCCCCAGATCTGAGCTTCACTTGTCTCTGCTCAGCTCTTCAGGCCTGCGGAGGGGTTTCCTCATTAAACTGAAGATCAGAAAGCAGCACTCAGCAGACAATTTATGAAATTTCTCCCTGTGACATTGCCCCTCTGCAATTGAACGCACATATTCATCCTGTTGTCAGGTCTTTAGAGTTTGCTGTTTTGATATTTGGCTCAGCTCAGAAGATTCCCAGTTCTGTCTTCTTCTGTGGTTGCAGGGCTGTGATAGATGTATCCCCACATCTCTCGAATGTAGCATTCATAACTGCACTGCTTTATCTAAAGAGGCAGCTGGTTACCTGTGAGCACTTTGTTGTTGTCCCACACTGGTGCAGGACTGGAGCAGGCTAACCTGCATCTCAGGTACTCATTCAAATAAAAAATAATAATGATTACACAGCTGAAAAAAACATACACTGTTTCAGGGTTCATTTTCTGCTACTATTCGTGATGAGCAATTTTAGTGATAGAAACTTTGGTTGGAAGAGCAGAACTTAAGAGATTTATCACATCCAGCAATTTTCAAGCATTTATAAAGGGTCAAACGTAGCTGTGATGCCAAGGATGAGCGATATCCAAGAACGCATTTGTGAGAAACAAGCTGTTTCAATGCATTAGGTTTCTTAGCTGTCCTGTAGCTTTCAGTTGAGCAAAGCCTGTCCAAAGTAGCTGTTCTCACCTTTCTGTGACCTACCCTGTTCTGCTAGGGCTCATCAACAATTACTAGGTACTACATCAGGTCCTGGGTGTGTTTTGCATCAACAGCTCAAGTTATATTTAGCAGCACTCTGAGGCTCCTTGCTCCGTGAGACTCACTGCGCACGACAAACCGCAGTCAGTACGCGCATGTTTCTCACCTTCAGATGCAAAACATCTCATCTTCCAGGACAGAGACATCACCTCTGGCTCAGGAAGCGCCTGAGCACAAATCACTAGAAGATGGGGTAGTCCACTAAGGAAGATCTGCTGTGTGCCTGCTCTGTATTTACACTCTTCCCTGGACATCTGCTGTTGGCCTAGGTTATAGCCACAATATTGGGGTAGGTAAGCCTAGCATTTCTAATGTCATTCTGTTATGTTCACACTGTTAGACGAATAGATAATTACATTTCTTACTCATAAACTGGAGAGCCTACATGCTCTAATGTATGGAGACCTTATGGAGAGAAAACCCTGGAAAAGGGCAGGGCACCTGGAGATGCCCAAGTAATAAGGGTTGTGGATGGAAGAGGCATGATGGACGTGAAATCCCATTTTCTTCGAGTGTGGTGAGAAAGCAGCAGAAGTGTCTTGCTGCAGACCCACCAAGCAGGGCTGTCAAACCAGATAGAGATTGACTGCCCTTTCCTCACCTTCACTTTGATCCAGTGCACCTCACATTCCTCGTGGCATTATCTGGCCACGTTATCCGGCCATAATCCTGGCCCGGATTTACCAGGAGGAATGGAAAGGTGCTCTTCCTCAGGCTTTCCTAGAAAGTGGCAGATTTCAAATACCAAACTGGTGCCTGGTCTAGAAATCGGATCTTCCATCTTGTGAACAGGGGCCGAAGCACTGCTTTGTTGCGCAGTAGAGCCGGTGCGATAGTCATCTGTCCTCTCCTACCCAGTGTC